CGTTGGCCAGAGAGGAGAAATATCGTATACTCTATATACAAATGGAATATTGTGAAAATAAAACCTTGAAAGATATCATTGATACAGGCGTAAAGGAAGATGAAGGTTGGAGGTTGGTTAATTTTTTATATTTTGCTTGCAATATTTTTTTTCCATAAACTTATAAAATGGGTCAACAGAATTTTTCGACAAATAGTGGAAGGGCTTGGTATGCTAATTTAATTCTTTATTGAAATTTATCGTTTTATATAATTATTGACGATATCTTTTATTTGTTTAAAGTACATATTCATCGCAACGTATGTAAAGAAATGAATTCTGATTATTTTAATTATCCTTATAAAATTTACTCATTTTAATTTATACAATATAGGGCATGGTAATTTTTACATATTAATAGCATAAAAGGTTTGTTTATTAATATAAAAAAAGTATGACCTATTGTTATCTGATCATTAGATTCATCGAGATTTAAAACCAAGTAATATTTTTTTGGACAAAAACGGTGATGTGAAGGTAATAAACATTAGAAGTATATTCAATTATGCGTTTTGATAATGTAGAACAATTTCAATATATAGATCGGGGATTTTGGATTGGCTACCACGAATGAAAATGATGCATTATTTGATCCGAGTACTTTCAGAATGTCAACTTTTTACAGAATGAACAGTAGAGAAGATTCAATGACTGGAGGTATTTGTTTCCTTTTACCTTGTAAAATGTGTTACCATCTTATTTATTAATTACAATTTCTATTTAGATGTCGGAACGCTCCTTTACGGCGCGCCTGAGGTTGCTACCAATGCTGTTGTGGGAACCCGCTATAACCAAAAAGGTACGATGCTGCGGAATATTTAAAACACATTACAATAAATGATGCTAATAATATTTTTATTCAGTGGATATATATTCCTTAGGTAAGATACGACTGCTTGCTTTTAAGTATCAGTTAAAGTTATAAACTCTTTATTATTGGAAACTTTATAGGAATAATTTTATTTGAAATTTTCTACAAATTTACTACTGAAATGGAACGTCGAATGGTAAAGCCAATCATTGTGTGATATATATATTTGATATTTAGATCTCTGCGATTATATAATGGTAATGTTTAAATAAAAACCAGACTATCTTAAACCTTCGAAAGCCCGAGATAAACTTTCCAAAAGATTTTCCATTTGAAAAAATGGACAAACAGGCGCATATTATTCGTTTGTGCATGCAACATAATTCTAAAAATCGACCTACAAGCGTAGATCTTTTAAAAAGTGAATGGCTACCAGCTAAAATTGAAGATGAACGTTTGCAAGAATACGTTAGAACAATGGGTTTGTTTTTTAGGTTCGATCAGAATTATCAATTGTAATAAAAAAATACATGTATTTAACCCTTAGCAATTTTTTTTTATAAATTAGTTAATCCAAACACTCCACACAATCGATTTTTAATGTCGAAGCTGTTTGAACAGTCATCAGATAAACATAAAGATTATACTTATGACTTTGTAATGTATAGTTTTAATTTTTAATCATTTGTTTTATAATTAAGTCTAATTGTAGTTATTTACAGGGGAATGTTTCTTTTAACGTATCGAGTGCGCTAACGTTTGGAAGAGTACGCGATTATATGGTCAAGATATTTCGCCATCATGGCGCAGTTGAATTAATCACTCCGTTGTTGATGCCCAAGTCCGATATATATGTTGAGGACAAAAAGGCAGTTTATTTAATTGATTCAGATGGAGGAATTGTACAGGTTAGAAACCAGCTTATTTGAATTCTCAAAAGTTGAATTATCGATAATTAATGAATGTAATAACTGTAGCTTCCCTATGACTTGACGGTACCTTTCTCAAGATATATTTCACGTAACAATATTACAGATCTGAAAAGATATGCATTCGATAGAGTATACAGGTAAAGTTTCAACATAGCAAAGAGACTCTGTGCCAGTAATGACATGCTTACTACATTATATATAGGGAAAACATTGTTGGGCAGCCTCGTATAGTTAATGAAGCTGATTTTGATATAATTCATTCAACACCTGCTCCTATGGTTGCTGAAGCAGAAATAATAAAAGTCGTTGATGAAATTCTTGAAGAATTCCCACCATTAAAAACGAACAATTATTGTTTTTTTGTAAACCATACGAGCATCGTAGAAACAATTTTTGATTGCTGTAGAATACCTGGGGATATTCGTCGTGGTGTATATAATTTACTCGGCCAACTTGACAAGAAATATACGATGAATCAGATCAGGACACAACTTATGGAAAAATATGACTTGTCAAGGAGTGTGCTGGATGAGCTAGTTCTTTTTGATATTAGAGGTAATTCTTTAATTATTAAATACGTAAATTCATTTTATGTTTTAATAATTTCTTATGATGTGGTTTTAGGTGATCTGGATTCAATCTCAACTACTTTGGACAAGTTGATTCCAGCAGGTAACATGCGTAAACGAATACATGAGGCAATTAACGATTTCAAACTTTTGTTGACATACACACAATGTCTTGACATTCGTCATAATATTATATTTGTACCATTGTTAACGTAAGAACACACAAAGTAATGATATCTATTTTTCATTTGAACTATTCTAATATACGTTTATTTTCCGTTAGGTATAATAATCATTATTACAAGAATGGAATGATCTTTCAAACTGTTGACAGTAGTCGGAAAGACGTGATTGCTGCTGGTGGAAGATACGACTCATTAATACAAAAATTTCGGCATCCTATAGCAAGTGGAGCATCTGTTGGTCGACAACAAATATTCGCAGTTGGAGTTAACATAGCAGTACAAAAAATAGTCATTACTCTAGAAACTTATCAAAGCGCCATATCTAAAATGATTCAAAAAAAGAAGCTTGAAGAGGAAAGGAGTTTTGGATTTTGGGCACCAAAAAAGGTATATATAATAACTTATTTACTGATACAGAAACTATAGGTTAATCATATTTATTTATGTCTTATATTGTTATTAAATGTAGTGCGATGTATACGTTGCAAGCTTTGGCAAAATTATGTTACAGGAGCGCCTAGACCTTGTTCGTGAATTGTGGGCACATAACATTAAAGCTGACTTCATGTATGAAGAACCGACAGATCTTACTCCTGAAATTCTGGCTTCTTCATGCAGGGATAAAGGGATTAATTGGATAATAATAATGAGACATAAAAGTCAAGATTTGTATACTTTGAGAGATGCTGCGACTATTTTCAAAGTAAAGAATTTGATATTGAAAACTGAAGAAGAAGGTAACCAAATATATAAGTTTTTAAATTGCTATAAACTCGTGTGAAAATTAATTTTTTTTTGTTTAATGTTTTGATAGTTCCCCGTAATGAGCTTTGTGTAAAATTAAATAGTGAAATTCAAGAACAAATGAGAATTGATTTATATGCTTCAGGATCCAAATTCCACAAACATCATCTGATAGCACAGACAGATTGTACGTTAAAAGTTTTTTGATTCATTTGTATCATAATATTTATGCTTAACTTATCAATTTATTCAACAGTGACACATGATTTCAGCAATACCAATCTGCCATTATCATTAGAAGCGTCTTGTAATCGATCAAAACTATCTATCAAGGCCGTTATACCTTCCACAACAAATAAAGGCAATAAAAAAATGAAACATAAGCAAAAGCAATTACTTATTGATAAAGGTTCATAATGCTCATTATTACTATATTTTATTTATCTATATCTTTCCTTTCTTTCTGACTCAATTATATTTGTTTTTTATATAGCACATGATAATATTTCTGGAATAATAAAACATATTAACGATGGTAGTGTTCCTGTTGTGGCAATAGACGTAAGTCGTGAATTGCTACGCAAAATCTCAGATTGTGATGTACTAGACGATGAGTCATTTAAATGTAAAAGTATGTTTTCTATATAATTTCTTTTACTGTTTGTTTTATTTATTTATTTATTTATCTATTTATTTATTTATTTATTTTATTTATTTTTTAATATAGTATTTGATATGGTTCCTCCGCAACAAAAAGAATATTTAAGTAGTATTCAAAGTTATCTCAAAAAACTACGAAGCATGGAAGATTGCAAGCATATTTGGTTATATTCACATAGAGATGATTTTGGGTTATTGTATCAATTTTTTTCTTGA